ACCAAGTCCACAAAGGACCGAACTCTATCAAACGGTCATCGAGTTCAAAAGGAAAAATCACAAAGCTATTAACAAGCACAAAGCAAGTTAATAGGCCACAAAGGCAACAAAAAAAAAAAACAAAGTCAAAATTACCCAAAATCAAAATTCAAGATTCTTTGACACGATATGATTTTTTCAGCAGGCAAACACTTAGTACCCATGTCAGCAGGATTAAATTCTGAGGGAATTTTCTCTAACTTGACAATACCCTTTTCAACTATATCCCGAATGTAATGAAATCTAACATCAATATGTTTAGTTCTATCATGAAAAACAGGATTTTTGCAAAGTTGAATAGCAGATTGACTATCAGAAAATACAACCACATTTTTATCAAGAAAACCAATTTCAGATATAAGGCCCCTAAGCCAAATAGCTTCTTTAAAAGCTTCAGTGGCAGCAACATACTCAGATTCAGTAGTAGATAAAGCAACAATGGGTTGTAATTGGGATTTCCAACTTATGCAAGAGCCACACAAAGTAAACACATAGGAAGTGGTAGATTTTCTATTATCCCTATCATTTGCATAATTAGAATCTACATAGCCAGCAAGTTTGACACCTTCAGAACACTTAGAAAAGGTTAATCCTACATCCACAGAGGATTTCAAATATCTTAAAAGCCACTTCAAGGCATTCCAATGAGTCATACCAGGGTTTGACATATATTTACTCAAGCAACTAACCGCATATGCAATGTCAGGCCTAGTACTAACCATGAGATACATGACAGATCCTATAGCATTCGAATATGGCACCTTCTTCATATCATTTATTTCAGTTTCAGTATTGGGAGATTGATCCTTACTTAACACAAAATGAGAAGCAAGAGGCACATTCACAGATTTAGCATTAGACATAGCAAATTTACTCAAAATTTTTTCAACATATGAACTTTGGTTTAAAACTAGAGTAGATTTGTTTTTGTCCCTAATAATATTCATGCCTAGGATTCTTTTAGCATCACCTAAGTCTTTCATGTCAAAATTTTCACAGAGATATTTTTGAACATGCTCAATAGACTTCAAACAATGACTAACAATCAACATGTCATCCACATAAATTACAAGAAATACAGGCACAGAGTCTATGTTCTTATAGTACAGGCAATGATCAGTAGAACTCCTTTTGAACTTTAAAGATTGCATGCATTTATCAAATCTAATATTCCATTGCCTAGGTGATTGTTTTAAACCATACAAAGCCTTTTTTAACAAACACACATGATCAGGCAATTTAGGGTCCACAAAGCCCTCAGGTTGGTACATATAAATATTTTTATCAAGATCACCATGCAAGAAAGCAGTAGTTACATCCATTTGTTTTAATTCCCAATTAAAATGAGCAACTAAAGCAAGCATAATTCTAACAGTAGTGAATTTGACAACAGGAGCAAAAATTTCAGCATAATCAATTCCCTCCTTTTGAGTAAATCCCTTAGCTACTAACCTAGCCTTAAACCTAACACTTTCAGATTCTTGTTTCACCTTAAACAGCCACTTACAGTCCACTACAGAACAACTAGCAGGTTTAGGAACAAGTTTCCATGTTTGGTTAATTTTTAGGGATTCCATCTCACTCTTCATAGCACTAATCCATTCTTCAGAATATTTTGACCTTAATGCTTCTTTATAAGTCTTAGGTTCATTGCACTCAAGGGATTCAAACACATTAAAGGCAAACTCAGACATATTACAATCAATCAAATTGCAATCTCTATATCTTTCAGGTTTCCTAATGGTTCTTTTATTTCTATCCCTAGTGAGTTGATAATCATTCAAATCATGCATGTTATCTATTTCCTGCATATCATGCTCCACCTCATTTGGAATAATCTCATCTTGATTTTCAATAATTATATCATTCAATTTTTCTTCAGGAAATGATTTGGGTTGATTAATAATAGGCTTTTGCTCCACCTCATTTGGAGCATCATTTTCAGGAATAGGAACATGTAAAGGTAAACAAGGAAATTCATTTTCATTAAAGACAACGTCTCTGCTTATCACTACCTTAAACCCCGGTTCACTCTTATTCCAAAGCCTATAACCTTTTACCCCTTCAGGATATCCTAAGAAAACACATTTCTTAGATCTAGGTTCTAACTTATCAATCTTTTGATGCACGTAGCCAGCACTCCCGAAAATTCTCAAATTATTTAAATCAAGAGGTTTGCCCGTGAACACAAATTCAGGGCATTTCCCTCCTAAGGGAACAGAAGGAGACCTATTAATCAAATAGGCTGCAGTACAAACAGCTTCTCCCCAGAACTTCTTGGAGAGCCCAGATGTGGCCAACATAGCCCTCACCCTCTCTAAGAGAGTTCTATTCATCCTTTCAGCAATCTCATTCTGCTGGGGTGTATAGGGAACAGATTTATGCCTTTTAATACCCCAAGTAGTACACAAATCATTCAATTGTTTGTTACAAAACTCAAGACCATTGTCTGTCCTAAGAGTTTTAATTTTCTTTCCCGTTTGGTTTTCAATCATAATTTTCCAGTTTTTAAATTTATCAAAAACTTCAGATTTTTGTTTCATGAGTAAAACCCAAACTTTCCTAGAATAATCATCAATTATGGAAAGAAAATATTGGTTCCCTCCATGCGTAGGCACACTAGAGGGACCCCACACATCAGCATGCAAATATTCAAGTACACTAGTGCACTTAGACTGATTAGGAAAAGAAGAAGTAGGAAAAGTAACCCTATGTTGTTTTCCTAGCACACAAGATTCACAGAAAGGGATGGGGGATATTTTATCACTACCAAAGTGACCTCCTTTATGCAAAATTTCTAATCCTTTATTACTCATGTGACCTAATCTATTATGCCATAAAACAGATTTATCACCTATCACAGAGTTAACAGAATCAAGCACAGGTTCAGCATGACAAATATACAAATTGTTTTGTTTTTCAGCAGTAAAAACAACAAGAGACCCTTTTTGAATTTTCATAACCCCTTTACCCCATTTTCCCTCCAAACCATCATTTTCTAGAGATGCACAAGAAATCAAGTTATAACGTAAATCAGGAACATGCCTAACATCCTTCAAAGTAAACACAGAACCAGAGGAAAACCTAAGGCATACATCACCAGTTCCTAAAACATTGCATTTCTTTTCATTTGCCATTGACACAAAGCCATTCTCTATTTTCTTGTAGTTTGAAAACAAGGTTTTAAAAGGAGTCATATGAAAAGTACAACCAGAGTCTACTAACCAATCTGATTTACACAAAGGATCAGATAACACAGAGTTCAAATATGCATAATCACACAGATTATTAATCATGAAAATCTCACCCATTTTGCCCTCACAGACAGCCATATTAGCATGTTCATTTTGCTGATTTTTCTTAGGCTTAGGACAATCTTTAATAAAGTGACCAGTTTCATGACAATTATAGCATTTTTTAGCTTTAAACCTGGACTTAGATCTACCTCTTCCATTTTCAAATTTTTTCTTACTTGATTCCCCATTACTAGCATTCTTTTGGTAATTAGACCTATTCTGAGGCCTACCCCTCACATGCATAACCTCACCAGAATTTTTATTTCCCCCAGAATGTTTTAAATCTAATTCCTTACTCTTAAGACCATTGACCACAACATCAAGGGTAACCTCATCTCTACCATATTTAATAGCAGATTTCACATCACTATATGAGTCAGGAATAGCATTTAGAAGGGCAATAGGAGTATAATCATCTATATGTTTATCACCAGTTAACTTAATATCTGAAATAAGTTTTGTGAAAACATCTAGGTTCTCCTCAATGTCCTTAGACATATCCAATCTAAATTTGAAAAAAATTTCAAGCAAAAACATTTTACTGGGCAAAGAGGTTTCAGTATAGAGTTCTTCAAGTTTATCCCAAAGAGTTTTAGCACAGTCCAAAATTCCAACTTTTCTAATCACAGAGTCAGATAAGTTCAAATAAATTGTGGAACAAGCATTTTCGTTCATTTCCGCCCGTTTATTTTCAGTGTCAGAGGTTAAATAAGTCTGACCAACAGCCCTAACGGACTTCTGTTGAATTAAGATGCATTTTATTTTTTGTTTCCAAATGCTAAAATCAGATTTTCCGTTGAACGGAGCCATACCATATTGAATCATACTATATTGATTAGCAGCAGACATTTTTCACACAGGAAAAACACACAATAAAAATACAAATGTTAACTTCAGCAGATAACCGCAGTGGGATAAAAAAAATTTCAGCAGATAAATTTCAGCAGTTAAACGCAGCGAATTAACACAGATAACCTTAAAGATTTACTGTAATTTTCAACAATTACAGCAATTTTCAACAAAGTCAAGAGTATACCTGAGCGAAACCCACTGTAGAGAGTTTCGACCTTACCCACGCCCACGCGGTGGTCCGGCGGCAGTCCGGCGTCTGTCCGACGGTGTCCAGTGGCGGTCCGGCGGTGTCCAGCGGCGATCGGCGGCGGTTTTGAAGCACAGCGACACTAACCTTGCTCTGATACCACTGTTGAGAATCTGCAGAAGCCTGCTCAATCAGTCCGATCTTCTTCTCCAGTGCACCACCAAGAACACAAAGGGAGGGAGAAAAGCAACTATTACACGGTCTCTCTCCAAATCTCACAAAGAGGTAAAAGCACAGAGCTTTGAAGGAGCACAGAGCTCAGGTAGGGGAGTGGATCGCACAGCTGGTAGAAGCACAAAGCTCACAGTCTCTTCTTTCTTCTTCCTCTACCTCCTCTCCCAAGGTACTACCAACCCATTACCCATATATAGGGAAGGGGGCAGCCGACACGGGAGAGGCTAGGGGAGAAAACGAAGAAGGGAGCCGACCTACGGATGGGAGATGGGACTCACAAGCGGCGGCCATCAGATCACGAAGACTGGGAGGTGAGAACCATCGGGTAGGATGAAGAAAATAGAGGGGCTAGGGCACATCAGCTATTAAAGAGGGAATTGGGCCTATTGGTAATGGGCCAAAGTTTGGGCCAACAAATAGCAACAGTTTGAGTGATTTTGTAATCTCAGTTTGTACTCTTCTTCTTTATTAGTGAAAACTTCATCCCCTTCTTGCCTCATGGACGTAGACAACTTGTCGAACCACGTAAAATTCGTTTATTTGTGTTTGTGCCGTTATTTTGTATTGTTTGGCCTTCTCTTGGCATTTGTGCTTCGGCGTATCGGTTTGGCTTCCGCACACAACATACGCCAGGCTGGCAAAACCCACAAAGGACCAAGAGTTCAAACCCTCAACCTCGCAATCTAACTCTACTTACCGCTGGCATCTTCCGTACCCAAATGCAGACCCCGCAAAACCCCAAACCGTTGTAGTTTTGGTTGGGCGCGAAACAAAGGTATTTGAGGAGATATGCTGAGTGGTATACTTCGAGAGGTTTCCATGTGATCACATTTACGTTCCCGACGGCTGATGTTGTTAGTTATAAGGTTAGGGGGAAGCGGAGGAGAGCGTCGGATTGCTTGCGAGTCATTTGGCAGGTTGGGTTGCGGAAGAGAGTGGGAATAAGCTTGTTTTCCATACTTTCAGCAACACCAGGTGGCTGACGTGAGAATCTAAGACGTTGGGTATGCCGTTTTGATTGTGGGTGTAAGGGTTTTGTTTTGATATGACGTGGTTTTTGTTTTGTAGGTATGGAGTTTTGCTTGAGAAGTTTTAAGGCTGAAGATGCTTCTGTGATGGGAAAGATCAAGGGGTGCATTGTAGATTCTGCTCCTGTTGCTTCCCCTGGTCCACAGGTAAAGGGTGAATACAATTGCTTGTTATGAATTGAATTGTTTACGTTAATAGATTATATCTTGGGTAATGTTTGGTTTTGAATCTTTTGATGATTTATAGCATAGTAATAAATTGTGTATTGGTTCATTGAACTTGGAGGCAAGTTTAGGAGTTGCTTGCTTTGTGAACATGAACCAAATTGTTACTACAATAGTTTCACTTGTGTGCTACCTTTTCTCTCTTAAAGGTGAAAGAAAAAAGTGATTTTTGTATTCTTTCTTCTCTTTGCATTTAGATTTAGATTGCAAGTAATTTTTGGTATGAGTTAAAACTCATCCCTCCACATATTTCAGGTCTGGGCTTCAGGGTTCTCTGCTGCATTTTTGAAAAAGCAGAGTGTGGCAACGAAAGGAATGCTGAGCTCCAATAATTCGGGGATGAGCGCATTGGTTGAAAGTAAATCAAGCGGAGAGCCGAAACCGGCAGTTGCAGAAATTGCATTGTTGGCAGTTCTGGAGAAGTTCTTTGAGGTGGTTCTTAACCTTCCTTCCATCAGTAGGTAATGATGTATTTATACTTAATTTCCCCATTGATGAATGTTGGTGACGATTACTGGATTTCCAATGAACATTTTAAGATAAATTCCAGAAAACCCGCTTTAAGGGTTTTGCGTAAAAAACCCTGAACTTTATAAGTCGTAGAAAACTCTATTGTGCTATCGGAAATTTTCATAAACCGCGTGTTAACACGCGGAGTAGAAAGTATGCTGTCATTTTTAGTTTTGCCTACCCCTACCTAAAAAGGATAGTATTGAAGTTGTTATGTGCGGATCACATGATAACTTAAAAGTAACTCTTGCCAGTCATGATACCCGAGTGAGAAGTCTTTAGGGATTTATAAAGCTCGGGAGTCTTGTGAAATCTACCCAACTGGTAATATAGAGGGCGTTTGGGTGAGCTTATTCTTTGAAGCTTATAAGTTATGCTAAGTTTTACTGGCTTTTAGCTTTTATGATAAAAATGCTATAAAAATTGTTTGGACAGAATAATAAATGCTAAGTTTTACTGGCTTTTAGCTTTTATGATAAAAATGCTATAAAAATTGTTTGGACAGAATAATAAATTTATTTGTCAAACCTAGCTTATTTAGATGAGCTTATAAGCTAGTTCTTCAAAAGCTAGGGTATACCGGTTTTTTAAAGTGGGACTTATAAATTAAACTTATTTAATATTTTACCAAACAATTAGTTATTAAAAAGCTAGCAAAAAAGCTAGCTTGACCAAAAAATAAGCTCCCCAATACACCCTCATAATCTGGCACTATTGTCATCTTGCATTTTCAGCATTTAAAATCTGTTAACTGAATATCTTTCAGCATTTATATATAGTCTGTAAGTTAAAATAGTTTGCATAGTTAGTCAAATTGCAGGTATGATACCAATTGCATATTCGATATTCACTCGTATATTCGAATGTTTGAGAACTATGCGGCCATACAATCACTTTACGTTGCTATTCTTAGTCTTTGTCACACAAAGTTTTTTCGATAACTGGTTCGGTAAGTTATCACAAGCATGCTTTAAAGAGGTTATCACTAGCTCACAAGTGATAAGGATAGTGTGTGGTGACCCCAAACAAAGAAAAGATAAAGGTTAGGAATTCTTTTTGCCCATTGGTCTTTATGAAAGGTTTCTGTAGTAAATTATTTCCCCTGAAGTGAGGATAGTGCGTCTAGAAAAAATGAGGTAATTTGCAGGCACCGTTGCTGTCAATTGAGAACTGATCAGTTGCCTTATCTTGATCATAAAAGAAACCAAAAAAACTTTAGAAAAATCAGAACATACTTTAATTTTTTGCTTTGTGCTAGAAGTAAATCTTTACCATTTCTTAAATCCTTTTTGATTACTTTTTGTTCAAGAACATTCACATCAGGGATGCAAAAACATACGGATCGATATTTGTGTGTATATGCGCATTTGTTTCTGATAGGATGTGAATGTTATATATCTATACTGGGAGGTTATGGGTATTGATATGGGTATTGTTCTAGTTTTTGATGGGATATGGATAACGATACTATCCTAATGTCCGAAAATATGTATCAACCAGTGATGATATTACTTCAATCCTAAATAAGTGGATTTGGGATCAGTTTTGGTGATCATGAGATGTGACCTTAGCTTTCTAGATATGTCGAATGTTGATCAACTCTAACTTGAGAAATTTTGGTTTATTTAAAACAACTTTTGTATCATATGGCCAATATACTTCTCAACCTTATCTATTTTCCACATATCTGCCTTGTATATGTTTTATCCTATCGGTTTTCCATTTTAACAAATATGGATCGTGCGTTTTATTTCTTAGTAAATCATTTTTGTATTTGTATCTGATACAGATGGTAAGCACCATTTCTGATGCACATCCAATCTGTTTGCAACCAAGATTTTCATATATAAGGATAAGCAACCTCAGAAATCCTAGTGAAGTATTTAAAGAAACACAGTGAAATAATGAAGCAGCAATTATAATGTTTAGAGTGAACTTTAGCTCCTTAAGAACAAAGGAACTTCCATACAGCTAGACGAGAAAAAGAAAAAGATCCGAGTGCTTACAACTCAACTCTTTAAGAAAGCTAATCAGTTTATTATGTTTTCTCAGGTGAAACTTGTAAGATAGGAAAATTTTCTTTTTGCCTTTTTAATATTTCTTTTGATATTTCTAGCATTATCGGGAACATGCCGCTTTTCTTTGTTGCTTATACACTTCAAACTTAGTCATGCAACACCTAAGATACTTATTGCACCTGCATTGACATGCCAAATTATTGAAATGCAAGGTTTTGTGTTTTACAAATACCTCGATTAAAATGTCAAGAGTACGAAAAAGGCTTCTGTGAACTAATAGGATTAGTTAATCATTCATGAAACACTATGCCAATATCATTTTATCTTAATTTCTTTGAACCAATGAAAATCAAATGATGTGACCATGTACATTTAAATCCTTTGGACGTTGCTTTCTCTTTGAGAAATTTTTTACTCTAACAGAGTAGAAGAGGAGCCTTTTCTATAGGGTGAAGCTACCATCAAAAGGGGTCTTTTATCAAAGGAATATATTGGTTCACAGAAGTAGGACTTTAAGCATTAAAGATAACTTCAAAAGGGGTCTTTTATCAAAGGAATATATTGGTTCACAGAAGTAGGACTTTAAGCATTAAAGATAACTTTGGCTCATTAGTAAAGTAGGCAAATCATATTGGTTCACAGAAGTAGGACTTTAAGCATTAAAGATAACTTTGGCTCATTAGTAAAGTAGGCAAATCTATGGAATCTAAGCTCCTTAAGAACAAAGGAACTTCCATGCAACTCAACTTTTCCAGAAAGCTTAAGAGGCAGTAGACTTGAATCCTCCTCAGTGAATGGTCTTTTCATTGACATGAAGATTACAGGCATATAAGTGATAAACAAAAGCAAGAAGCTTTATATAGTTGGTTCCTACAAAAAGCATCTCCAATTGTTCTATTTACCCTCAGAGGTAGTTGGTTGCTTTTACGTAGGCATGTTGAAAGGTTCTAAGTTTCAAAACAAATAATATCGAACTAAAAGGACTATTTACTTATTTAGGAACATGTCAACATTTCAGTCTATGGGAAGAGAGAGAGGATTATAATCCTCTACTTTGAGCAAAAACACCAATTGACTTAGTTGAAGATAAAAAAATGAAGTATTTTTTTTTTCTTTCTTCTAAGTCTATGAAAAATGCATCCAAGTCATTAACACAGGAAGCAACTAATAGAAGTGTGCTCTATATATTGTAAATCTTAGAAGCAGTCTTTTTCAGGTTTTTCTATCTATTTAATCATGGCTATTTATAATTAGGAAACGAAACAAGCACAAGGTACTTTCTGCTGCAAAAACTTAAACACAAATCACCAGATTCACCACATTGATTTCAATTGATGGTTTAATGAACTTCAATTGATGGTGTAATGAACAAATGACAATGATATGGTAACTTCTTAATTGATCAATGTTCAGAGTTTTAAAGCTCAACCACAGTATGTAGATAAAAGAAATGTTAATGACGTCTGATTCTTCGAGAGTTGAATGTTTTTTAAGCGTTGCTCTGCTGAACTATAGGCGGACTCTCAACCACAGTATGTAGATAAAAGAAATGTTAATGACGTCTGATTCTTCGAGAGTTGATAAAAGAAATGTTAATGACGTCTGATTCTTCGAGAGTTGAATGTTTTTTAAGCGTTGCTCTGCTGAACTATAGGCGGACTTTTTTTTTTTTTTGCCCCCCTTCTCAAATTAAAAGGATTCAAACTGACCCATAAATATAGCATTCCATTATATGGTGTATTACAAGAAATAATACATCACCATCTCATTGTACAGAAGGAGAAAAAACCAAAGCAAGCAATCCTTTGTTCAAGAATTGTACTAAAACTGACGACCCTCCTACTTTAATTACAACAGCAACAAACTGTTAATGACTTGCTACGAGCTCATTTGTGATTCTGAGATAACCTGCTGCAAGTACTTGAAAGATCTCTGATAACTAACAAAACCCATGAACCAAAACTCATAATCGTCGACAGTAACAATCTGAACATACTTCTGATTAGGCTTGTTCACATTCTCACTAGGGCTAACTCTCTGTATCTTGCTCAACGGAACAGAAACCTTATAAGGAATTCTAATTAGTTCTCCTTTAGGAGAGGTGAATGTGAGAGACCTGTCACTCCGAAAAGCAATCTTCTCAGTCGAAATAAATAGCAATCCTGCGATAGGACCTGAAGTTGTCGATAAATAACACTGACAAGCCTTCAGAAGTTTCTCTCTTTTTGAAACGGAGAAATATCGTCTGAATACTTTCTCAATTCCCCCTGCCTTGAGGATTCTTGCCCCTAAGCTCAATTTCCCTTTTACAGTTTCGGATATCTTTGGCGCCAAAGTAACTGCAAATTCCATACTAGAATGTCAGCACTGATTTTCATCGGTAACATATTTGATTGATATTTGATCATAATATTTAAAACCGTATTGTTAACATAACATGTTAACTTACCATGATCTCTAATTCCTTGTGCATAGCTATCTGCCTTCTTGCTAAACTTGCTCATCCAATCAATGACTGAATCCTTCTTTGCTAAAGAGCATTCATATGAAGATGCGTATCTAGCATTAGCCACTGGAATACCGATGACCTGACCATGATTCTGATTCTTCATATTTAGCTCAAACCGACGAATCTTCCACTGCTTCTACCCTTTGAGAGAGTGCGAGATTGAGGATGATCTTGGCTACAAGTTGAGAGGAGGCAAGGTGGGTTCTTATAACGTGAAGAAACCTAAAAGTGGGTGGCAACATTCAGAGCAGTAGTGGTTGAATGAATCAGTGGCATATGCTTTAGAGTCATCATCATGTTGTCTTCACAAAATGTTTAAAAGGGGGAAGTATTAGCTTTCTGGAATCCCATATGGAAAAACATTTCCATAGGTTGGGGGAGCATATAATAATAATAACGATAAAGACCTTGAAGGAAAACTGGCAGCCCACTAAAAAATAAAGTAGTGTGTGTTCTCTTTTGGACAGATTTGGAGATCAGCTGACACTTAACTGTTGAAGATTTGCTGCTTTCAGCTACAAGGGTAGGGTAGGCAAGCTGATTCTTGAATGAATGGTCTGAGTGTGCAGCTGGTGTAGATTTTGAAGAAAGGGTACTACAGAGGCCCCCACCAAAAATCATATAGGGAGGAGGCGAGGGTTCACAGAGCCTGACTTAGTAGGCACGTATCACTATTATCTATCAGTCAGTGCAATCAGACAACAATTCAATATCTTTGTTCCCCTTCTCCCAATGTAATTAATTTCTATGTAGGACCATCTGTAGGAATTTTTCTTTCCGATTTGGATTCCCATCTGATGTGTAAATTAAATCCCTCGCCATTGTCATCAGCAGCGCTGAGTCGGGCCTTTAGGATAAGAAAAGCTTTTGAGCTGGAGTTGGGAGGCCATTGGATCTTTGTTTGGCTGTAAAGAGAGAGCAAACCATATCTCTAGACACGTTTGTTAAAGGCAAAATCAGAGTAGATTTTCAACTGTTGCAAGCAAACGGGGGATTATCATGTCCAGAAGCTTTAATCAACTACCGAAAAAATGCCAAATTGAGTTATATAATCTTTGTTCATAGCTTTCTCAGCTCTACTCTACCTAAAGTCATATAATTTCTGTAAATCCTACCCAAAAAAAAAATAATCTGGTTCCTGAATATCAGCTAAAACCAGGGAGAAGTAAAATATAAAGCAGAACGGCCGGTGCCGATATATATATGCTCGCAATGGACAAAGCTAAACTCAGAAAGATGCGAAGAACAATAGCAGTCTGATTAGATCATCACTGAATCAAAATCCATGTGTCAACCTGAACTTCTCAGAATTACCTAACAGCTATGAAGCACGGACACGCATAACATGAAACTGTGTCGTGTCGTAAGCACGGACACGCATAACATGAAACCGTGTCGTGTCCGTGTCGGACACACGTATCCTATGTATTTTTTAGGATTTGCCTCGTGTCGGCGTGTCGGATGGCCGTGTCGGATCCGTGCTACATAGCCTAATAGCCTAACAGAATCACGGTCAAATATGTTTAGTACCCTGAAATGATAAGACTTTTTATAAGATAAATAAACAACAATATACAGAAAACAGGAAATTGTAACGATATCTAAACCACCATTAGGTATTTAATACCAATCAACAACAAAGACAAAGCCTTTATCCTGAATTTTTGGGGTAGATGACTCTAAATGACAAAACAAATATTTGTCAAAACACTCGGACCATTTCGTTTGTATGTAAAAGCTAACTCCTCTCTATACACTAGTAAGGTCGACAACTAATCAAAGAGGAACTACAGAAGATATTGCAGAGGCGACAAGTTCAAACTCCCTGAACAATTCCATGTTTTATGAAGCTAAGCAACAGGCACTGCTTCTCCTCAGCAAATCAAAGAGTCTTGAACCACCTATCGACGTTTATTGGACTTTGAAAAGGTGTTCTTTGTATTCTTCGTTGGAGTCTCTGGATGGGCATTTTCCATTTGAATCTCCGGATATGCATTTTCCATGTGCTGCTCAGGATAGGCATTCTCCACTTGATTGCTGGTAACTGGAGCTGGCATTCTATAAACCAAAGGTGGAGCAACCGAATTTGGAGGAAGAGGATAGTTCACGGGTGTGCCAACTGCATGTGGGCCCACAACTGGACGGCCGATGGCAGGCCCAGACGGGACCCGAGGACTGCCAGCTGGCGTCTGATGTGTTTGTTGAGCTGGAGATGGCACGTACTGCCCAGTAGGGACCCGAGGACTGCCAGCTGGCGTCTGATGTGTTTGTTGAGCTGGAGATGGCACGTACTGCCCAGTAATAGGACCTACCTTCTCTCCAGTAGGGTTTACACTGGTAATATCATGAATGCTTGATCGTCTCTTGTCTTTGGTGCCTGAAGTCAACCGGATGAAGTACTTCTGTGCGTGGCTTGCTACTTGCGTTGGTGTTCTAGATACCACGAAGTTTCTTGATATGCTTCGCCAATCTCCTTTGCCATATTTCTCAAGACCCAAAAGAAATAATCTGTTTCACCAAAGAAGATAACCAAGATGATGATGACTAAACACAGAAGTATCTGGTTCAAGACTAAAATTTAACAAGGTATCTAGTTTAGGAAATCAGACTGACAAAAATTGAGTGATGCACATTATGTATAAAAGTACCCAGCAGAAGAAACATTAATGTGCCTATAATGCATAATAGTATCTCCGAGAAGAAAGTAACATAAAGCCAAGCAATTACCATGTCACCAATACAGAAACACAGGAAAAGTATCTCCGAGAAGAAAGTAACATAAAGCCAAGCAATTACCATGTCACCAATACAGAAACACAGGAAATTTACAGTAAGCTCCCAATGGTCACGCATTTTTTGTCAAATTGTCAAGGGATAGCATATGACTGATCTCATTTAAAGGTTTTTACTGTGGAGATTGTCAACAACCCAGAATTGTCATTCAACAACCGATGAAAAACAGATGAAATAAAAAGGATTAGTGGGGCAGTAGAAGAGGGAAGGGAGTGCATCAAACAAAAAACCAATAATAGATACCCTTGTAATAAGAATCGCTACTATAATGCAATGGGGGAAATCCATGTTATTTTCCAATAGCACAGGAAACACAATATCATAACAGTTTACTCACAAAACTGTTAATAAGGAAACCAATCTCATTACCAAGCAAAAATGTCAAACATATGAGAGATACTAGTATATGCACGTCAGACCTGAAAAATACAAAGGCACTTGCATATGGATGAAGAAACAGAAGTAAAAGGTCTACCGTGTCTGTATTTATATTCTGCACAGCGACCTCATTGTAGTAATCGCTATATGCTACAGAAGCATATGAGCTTCAATTACACCAAATGACTATGTATTCGTTCTTGCATAAATCGCCAAAAGAATGGTTGTGAATAGAAACGTATAAATGACACCCGCAGCAACTGAAAAATAGCCAAAGTGGCCCCACCAAAACTCAAAATTTAATCCACTAAACAATTTTCTTCAGGTTGAAGGGATTATGCAGAAATTGTAACAAATGAACAAACAGGGTTAAATATGCTCCAAAAGACTTGTAAGTTCGAGCAAAAAAAATCTCAATATGACTAACCAATATAGGGAAATGGAAGAAAGTACAAGGAGATGAGATTTATTTTCAGCATGCAGTGAGGAAAATATCATGTAAGCCTATGTTGCACAGGTACTTCTATTTGGACCGTACCCATGTCATACCCGTACCTAACACCAAGACTTAAATGGACACTCCTTAGATATTTGCATATACTTATTCACATGTGTGCTCATCTATATAATACATGTTTTAATTTAAAACACATGTCATATTCTTATTGGACATATCTCCTACACTTCACATGCAATCCTTGAAACTCGCAGGACGTAAGTTGGGTTCGTTTCTACCCGTACCTAGTTCAAAAAAACTACGACTACGAAGGGTCTTTTGGATATCAACTTCAAATCGAGCAATTTTCTAATATATTATAAAAGAAACATATAAATGTTATAGGAATTTTATTTCATAGCCCATGAAATGAAAAAAATATTGATTTCATGTGAATTGTTATTATATATACCAATGTTGAAAATAGCGATAACGCATAGCGTAACGCTTACCTCCGGTTAGGTTACAATAGCGATAACGCATAGCGTAACGTAGGTTAAATAATTTATTATTATTTAAATAATTTATAGATATATAACATTCAAAATAAAAAAATATGAATAATCATCGCAATTTTCAATTTCACAAATCAATATATCATCACAATTTCACAACAAAATCAACCATGTTTGCCTTAACAATCAATCCAAAAGCATAAAATACTTCAAGTTCGAAACCAAAAAGGATCCAATGATCCATAAACTATGAAGTATGAAATTATTGGGTTGGATTGGAATCCATGAGTATGAAATTATGAATCAAGTTGTAATGAAAGGATCCAATGATCCATAAACCCAAAACCAAAAGCATGCTTATGTTTGGACAAGGCGGTGCGAAAAGGGGGAGTTGCAGGCTAAAGTAGCAAAGAAAAGGGCATGAAAAGGGGAAGGGGAGGCGGAGCTGCAGGCGGCGTGAAAAGGGCGTGAAAAGGGGAAGGGGAGGCGGAGCTACGGGCGGCGTGAAAAAGGCGTGAAAAGGGGAAGGGGAGGCGGAAAATAACCTAAGTTATAACTCAATCACAACCGTTCATTTCTTTTAAAAGCAATCTAAGCCATTGACAAAATAACCTAAGTTATAAAACGTTACGACGTTACGTTACGTAACTTACGTTATAGCTAAAATAACATGCGTTATTTTGTCTTTGCGTTATTTTCAAACGTTACGTAACGTTAAGCTACCGTTACGTTACGTTAAGCGTTATTTTGCGTTACGAAACGCGTTATTTTCAACACTGATATATACATGTATATCCGTGTTCATGTACCCTATTTTTAAAAATTTATTGTGTCCCAAACCTGTATCTGTAACCGTACCCATATCCGTGTATCTGTGTAACTAAGACGAAGTGCACACAAAATAATAGACAGAGGAAAACTAATATCAAGTAATAAGGTGAGTAAGATGCCCATGGTAGTATGACACAGTAAGTTCATGTGGATATTTTTTGTCACAAAGTGAGTAAAAGGGAAAAGAAAAAAGAAAAGAAAATTGAGAGGGTTCAATGCTCTTCGCTGCTGGATTTTCATTGGATCTCTCTCGTCTTCTTTTCCTTCATATAAGCTTTTTTCCAAACGAATCATAGATAAGAAAGGAAGTAAAAGATGAATAAGATCCATCTCCATAAAAGCAGAAAGATACTTTTGTAACCAACTTCAAATAAGTTTCAGTGTCAATAACCACCAAAAATCATGCTAGTCCACCACAAAATCGAAAATTTCAGTACTTTACGTGCCTGTATTCATATTTAATACGTGCATACAAGCACACACCACATGGAAGGAGCAAGGCAAAGACATCCTAAGAAATCTGCCTGTGCACTGTATATTGGGCTATCTTCCCTTATTAAGATAGCACATACCAGATGGAATGAATGTTCCCTTATGGCATTAAGATCTCAGTACAAAACTAAGACCAAACCTCACCGCAAAAGGCTTGAGGATTTGTTGGTGTACTTCTTTAGCACACCAAAGTGTGATTACATTAAGAATATGAGTTATTCAACATAAAGGCTCCAAGATCACAATTTGATTTCATCAAGCAGGCATAGACTAACAATTTGATTTCATCAAGCAGGCATAGACTGGCGCATATAAGGGACATAGGAGAAGGGAGGATAATGGGGAATGAGAAAAAACAGTGAAGAAAAAACAAAAAAGAAGACTGTTTTTCTGGGTTTACTGCTCAGTTGATTGAAGGATAAGCGGTGTTTTGATTGATGATCATGTCAGGAAACAGAGGGAAGAATTGCAGTGGCTGCATGGGTGGGAAAGAGAACAGAGGTCATAGGCTGTTGTTCTGGGTTTTGTTGCTGTTTTGGTTAATTTCGGTGGAGCGGGTTTTGTTGCTGTTCTGGTGTTTGGTTTTTTTTTTTTTTTTTT